GAAACACTGAAGAACGCACTAAGTGGTCTCCAGAGTGTAGGTATTGAATGGGCAGCTGGAGAAAAGCTGTGCGATAACGACATTGTTTGCCTGTTCGAGAGTATGGAAGGTGCACAAAGCGCTCTTGACAGACTAGCAAGTTCTATCACTTCAATCGTTACGCAATTTGCACCTTCAAAATGCAAATTGATGCTACGAGACTGGGTGTCGTCTATCCCAGCGCTGATGCTTGATGGTCAAGAATTATCTGTAGTGGAATGTTTCACCTACTTAGGTAGCTGCGTAACATATGACGGTGGCGTATTCAATAAAGTGATCGTCCGCATTTCCAAGGCTCGAGAGGCTTACGCAGGACTGAAACACCTTTGGCGCAGACGTGATGTTTCGTTTAAAATGAAAGGTCGTGTATACTGCGCCAGAGTGCGGTCAGTTCTGCTCTATGGTTGTTAGACCATTAATTTGCGCGTAGAAGATATTTGTCGTCTATAAGTCTTCGACTACTGATGTTTACGTAGTTTGGCGTGGTTTGGATGGAGCGAGCGCGCAAGCAACTCTGAGGTAAGGCGTCGCGTGTTTGGCAATGATTCGATAGAGAATTCGTCGTGCGGTCGAATTCAGATTGGTCGGCTTCGCTGGTTAGGACACGTATTGCGCATGTCCGGTCATCGTCTGCCGCACCGCGCCTTATTTGCAGTCGCGGCTCCAGGTTGGAAGAAGTCACGAGGAGGCCAACGGATGACGTGGAAACGTTGCTTGAAGAAATGCACAGAGCGATTAGACAACAGGTGTCTCCCGTCTTTCTGGTTGGGGTCCGAAAGTCTGTAACTGGTTGGCTGGAGACACTGAAGGATATAGCGACTAAGCGACAACAGTGGCGTTCTTGTTATTATTTCTTATCGGGTTAGAATACTTGAAAAGGTATTTAGGCACACTTAGATTGTGTACTATGTGTGTTGACCATAGATGTTAATTTTCTTCCCTCCTCCATCCAGTGAGGTCCAATCCCTCTCCATCTTTGCTTTATCATTTGATTTGTGTACATTGTGAGTTTGGCAGCGATCAGTGAAGTTCGCTGTACGATGATGATGATGTTGATTTCTCCTCGTAGATAGCTCGTTTGCGGACGTAAGCGCGTGTACTTCGCAGAGTGCGCACTCCATTCTAACTTATCTGTGATAGAGCTACTCTCTACGTGGCATTTGTACTCCGATCTGGGTGCGCCCCCTCGTGGAGGTTTCGGTTTCTCAATAGGCTTCGGAACCCGGGGACTCCTAATGGCAGTATTTGTTCGTCTTACTACTGTCGGGGGCGTGCGAAGTCCCAGGTTTCCAGAGATCGGGATACTTAAGACAAGCATACCGCGTTGGAGTAATTAGGCTGTGCCTGACGATGCTTGTGGGCTACGATATGACTACACATGTGTTCCATTTTTTCTCAGTGTTTTTGGAATTGTTTATGGATTAACGATTATCTCGTGGAATATTTGAGAACAGAAAATAGCTGTGTTATTTCCAAATTCATCATTGGTCCTCGTACCAAGTGTTCAGTGTTCCAGCTGTAATTGCTGGCTGCACATTTTACCAACATCAATCAGGAGTAATGTAAGTTTCTGGACTTGTGCAATTTTTTATTACACACCTAAGTGTGATGAATAGCTAACGGGGCGAACCCCACGGTCACTAGGATCTGCTGTTCAGTGGTAAGAACCGGCAACCTAAGCCCCGGGACTTGGAGTGGTGAACCACATATGGGCCCGATAGGTTAGATGTGGTATTGAACCGGACGATAGCAACACTGTTTAAGTTTGTAAAAATTGTGTTCTCAATGTTCAGTGAAACCATATCTGGGCTGCCCCACGCCAGAGGCCCAAATATCATTGTCGGAGTTGCAGGTCACAGTGATTCACCATCCGCGAACAAATCTTCACCAGCAGTGGCTGTAGCACCTTTGCCATCCATCGCAAGTGGTCCCAGACAACGAACTTACTGGGAGCTCAGAAGCAAAACCCGATCGATTACTGGTAAAAATGTGGGCCCTTGGCATCGGGGACACACTGACTCGTTAGATCGCAGACTTTCCCGAAGGACGCACCTTATGTTCCTCGGGCAAAATCGCGCGGGTACGAGGCATCTAGCGGCGTCATACAAGGCTCAGTCCTAAGCTCTTTGCTTTTCCTGGCCTACATAATCCACCTACCGGCTTCCTTACAATTCCGGTGCCTGATTTACGCAGATATTCTCAGACTGTGGTGGATAGTGACTTAAGATGACGACGTATTTATTCTACGGGAAGACTTGATGTTTCTAGAGCGCTGGTCCTTGAGGTGGTCGCTGCCACTAAATACCGAAAAGTGTGCTCACGTACGAGTTTGCCGAGTACTGAAAACGATACACAGAAACCCTCTTCGCTTATCCTTATGTGACACAGATTTTGAGGTAATCCTGTCTTCCACCCCAAAGACCAGTAACCACGTTGATATAGTATGTGCGTCGGCCTGGCGAATACTGGGAGTCATGCGGAAGACTTTCCCTGAATGCCTTCTAAGTTTTGTATGCTTCCCAAGTCCGCCCGAGACTGGAAGACAGCGGCCCTGAATCGCTTTCATGTGCAAAGACAGAAGCACAGAAACTGGAACGGGTACAGCGCAGTGCCGCACGCCTTGTTGCCGGACTGCATAGGATTAACTACGAAGGACGATTGTAGCCTACAGGACACTTCCTGTTGGCGCACAGGCCGAAAGAATGAACTTGATCTATACCAGACGCATTATCCGTGTCAGGGCTGCGAACTGCAGGTGATGTTCCCGCTTCAAGATCACAATCACAAGAGGAGAAACGCAATAACCCTGGCGAAATAGCACACGATCGGGTTTCTACTAGTTCTTCACCTATCCCGACGGGGGATCAACCTGTGGACTATGCTACTGGGATGTGTGGCGGAGGAGACAAACGACCAAAGGTTCAAGTATCGGTTAGACGTCTTCTTATGGAAGTGGTGGCAGGACACGCACATCTAAGTTATACCATCGAGCTGCGGCGAGGAGACTTATACGGCAATGCACCCACTATCCCTAGGTGAAGAAGGGATGCGGGAGGTGAGGAACCCGAAAGGGTTCTAAGCTTATGTGCATGTTATGTCTTATGCTAAAACGTATGATCAATACGTGCGCTTCTTGTCTAGCCCCCAACAATTGGAGACAGAACACAGCTGAGAGACGACAGTCAGATTGTATTGTTGACCATGAAACAACACGCAAAGATATGTGGTGAATTGGGCGTACGAGAAAAGATGTGATGACGCACCATTGAGGTTGATTGATCGGACGACAGCTATTTGATTTGCTTTAGTCATCCAATCAGGAGGCGATTCGGCTTAGGCGTCGCGAGCGCACTTGCGGTGTGACGCGGGTCGATGCGTGGCAAGATGGATTCTGTCCTAACACCTCTTTTGAGATATACGTTCACAATTTGGGTTTGATTTGCCCGAATGGTAGCTAGACAGAGGGGGCAGAATGGATATCAGTCTCTTCTCGCTTAAACACAGAATGGTGAGGGGTGACCCGTTGGAGATTTGGTTTCACTACTTGATCGGTAAATACAAGCTCATCACAATAAACTTTGAAGCATGCTGTCGAAATGCTTTATTTCGCAATTTGTACAGGAATGAACGAGAAACACTTTAGTATAATCTACATAATCTCTAAGCTAATAGCTGGTATTGGAGTCCGTCGGTTGTCTGCCGCGCTCGAACAATGCATGCATGAGAATCTGGCCGGTTTTATTTTCGATAGAGGCTGTATCGACCTTATCTTCATCTATTGCCACATTATGAAGATGTTTCTTCCATGATCCCGTAATTTCTGTGTTTTGATCTGAAGGCTTTCTTAGGTTCAGTTTACCGCACAATACTCTAGCATTGACTGTCAGAAGTTTCGTGATTAAGATCACCTAACACAAATACACGAAAGCCCGTTTCAAGCTTGAGGCTCTGTGACGCTGAGTTCACCACAGGAAGAAACATCGAAATAAGATGACGAAAAACGCTGCTTTCCGTGGTAAACGCAGGCGAAAAATAGCCGCGCATTGGAACTCAGTCTCGAAAGCATTTGTTCGTCGCGCTTATTCTTTCGCTTTTTATCTGACGCTTTGTTTCGGATATGATTCCGGAAATGGCTCAATGCTCGCGCGGAGATAGAGGTATGGGCATTCTTTCAGCATATATAGTTCGATCATTTCCCTACATCGTGGAATCGAATCCGGTGATGAATTGAACCTCTAACTTCGTCCGTTTTAAAATTCCGTGACAACTGTCCAACAATTTTAATTTAACTATGCGTTGTAGTCAAAATTGTAATAATCCTCAATCATGGCGACATCTGGTACTATTTTAGCTTTGCAACTAGATATAAGACATCGTCGGGAGTACTGCAAAGTTGGAGTTGATTCAAAATGAACGACAAGGTGGAAGCGTTCCTGAATCAGTTGCACACAGGTGATGACACAACGGTCGCGGAAACCCTCACCGCTGCCACTGAAGCCCCAGGTTAGACATGTTTTGTTGCCAATCACCAGCTCTGTTGCCCTTTAGGTATCTTTGTTTTTGGCGAATTTCTTGATCACCCTGCTGTACAACAGCTTAAAAATGGACCGAAAGCCAACATGTTTGATCTGTTAAATTTGTTTTGTTACGGTTCTTATGAAGAGTATGCGGCCAAACCAGACAAATATCCTCAACTTAGCCAGGCTCAGATTCGAAAATTGAAGCAGCTATCAATCATCGACGCTGCACATCACCAAAGACACATTTCATATAAATCATTGTTCGACAAACTGGGGATCTCATCTTCACGAGATCTAGAGGATCTGATCATTGAGTTGTTCTACTTAGAAGCAATAACTGGTAAATTGGATCAGCAGCGTGCTTTGCTAGAAGTTGAGTCAGCGATTGGACGGGATATACACGAGGAACAGGTAAACTGGCACATTGAGTTCACCGTCAATCATTTCCCAGATACCTGAACTACAAAAAGCGCTGGATGTTTGGTTGAACCGAGTGGAATCGGTCTTGGTGCACATGGGCAAGGAGATAAAATTGGCCAATGAACGTCGATTCGAATCCGAGGTACATCAACGAAGTGTACTCGAGGCGGCTTCTTCCCTCAAAGAAGCTTTACGTGGTCAACTGACCAAGAGCGAGGTGAGAAATCCCTGCATTTGAAATTCGCCGTTACTATGCGTATGGGTTGAATTCTCACGATTTCACTTGTTTTCTCTATTCCTGAGAAGTTGTAGTTTATTCGTTATGATTGATTAGACTAACAGGCTTTGTTTCCAACGGACCACTGTTTATTTATACAGTCTTAAAAGACTAACCGATAGTGCCAAATCACACAAATGCCTTGATAACTGTCTCATTTCACAAGTTGCACATCTTCCCCCATGGTGTGTTGAATGGTAGCCCTTTGATTGGCCGCTTTCCCTTCCTGGAAATTGTGCCATTGCGTATTCAAAACAGGAAGTAAAAGAAAAAAGAAAAAGAGATCTTTTTACGACAGAATGCCATTCATTTTATCAAATAGAGAGTTTGAGATGCGTGAATATGAGAGCAATGGAGGATTTGATTCAATTTCAAAGAGGGAATTCGTCGTCTATAGAGCAAATGAAGCTTGAACTGAAAAGCTTGGAAGCACTTTACAGGTCCCGGTTGGATTCGCACTACTGATAAGACCCAACAGTTGTAAAGTGCTTCCAAGCTTTTCAGTTCAAGCTTCATTTGCTCTATACACGACGAATTCCCTCTTTGAAATCTGTGCCTCCGCAGGTGAGGCACCTGGTTGCGTACTGGCATCCAGTATATACGTTCCCTTGGTATCATCCATCTATTCCTACACATTTTGTGGTTTGTTCCGCAGGGTAAAATATTCTTCTTTCAATGAAGATGAACTGCTCCCCCCTCTCCCCCCGGGTTATCAGGTGGATACTGCTCGAATGGATGTTGACGATCCTTTTGTACATCCGGACTTGTTGCCTGACGGTCGATCCGGCGGACATTTCCGTTCAACCGGTACCGCTGTGGACAGTCCCGGTGGTGACAAGGACGGACGAAGCCGAATGACTGTGTTCAAAGGACTAAGGAAGTTTAACAAATAATTGACCTCTTTGTGCACCTAATTCACATCTGACAAATTTCTTCAGTCTTATCACCGAACACCCACCCTATTTGTACATTACTTCTTTCTCTGATCTTTTCTTCGTTACTGTCATAAAATGCCGGTTGCTCGCCATTCATGATATAAAAAGGTTTCTTGACCAGTTGGATTTAATTCTGATCAAACTTCTCGATGTGAGATACGATGTTTTGTGCTTTCTCATTTTCGTTTATAGCTTCAGATCATTGACCGCGGGTGCATCTGTCAGATATCGAACTAGTGATTTATGTATCGGAAGATGCATATTCAACGGTGTTTCAAGTGTTTTGTAATGAAAGAAGTGGTATTCTGTCTAGTCACAGTTATTGTGAATATAATAGGCTCATACACTATTATTAGTAGTACGCCGATAATGGGATATCCCAAACTCCCTGAACTTTCTCATGTCAGTCTGTATGTGAAAGATGGAGGCACTTATTCAACTGCACCTTAATCTTATCGATGGAAATCGTTTCGATTCTATTCAAACTAAAGGCATTTTAAATGTATATATTTGTCATCTTGCCGCTTGCCCTCTGTCCGTTGTTGCAACGGTTTCACGACCGGCTGGATTTCCACTGACCGTATACACCGACATTATTTTAATTTTTGAAATCCCGCTACTGACTTTCATTTCAGTAGTTGAATTGCAAATCACATGAGTATTCGTTGTTATCAAAAAGCGTGAAACGCGGAGATTGCAATTTCCGCCGTCACACAGGCGTAATGCATAGTGGTTTAATGGTCTAGTGTCTTAAGAACTTTTCAAGTGATCCAAATTTTCTGACTGCTCTTTTTCCGGTGGGAACTGTCACGGTTGGTATTGCGGAATTGATTGACCGAGTCAACGGTTGTTTTGGACCTTTTTATTTTGCGATCCAAAAATGAAATCACGTTACAAGTCGGGAGCGCATGCAGAATCTCCATGTAACTGCTTAAAATATTAGGAGTTCCGGTGATATTAGCCTGTCTAGCGAGATGTAAATCCTTTCAGTCTCCATCCTCCCTGTATTTACATACAGCTATGAGAAATGACCATTAGGTGTCTGTGGTACGCTTTTGACCAATGAAAAAGCTGCGAACAGGTTTCCGATGAAGAATTTCGACGACGATACAACAACATCGAAGGATTGTGTTTGCTGTAGTGCCACAAATTTCACCGGTAGGCCATATCCTCCCAACAGCATTTCCAACCAAATCCTCCTGGCCCCTAGGTGATCAGTCTAAGAATTCGGTTAATACGGTCAGTGTGGACGTAGAGCTGTCAGGTCTTTGAGATGCATATGATCTACCGGAATAGAATAGGAGTTACTTATTAAAATCGACAGAGGTGGATAGCACTCATCCAAGACATGCCACAGATTGATTTTCCCGCATGCAGGACCTAGTTGCATAGTAAGTAGTAAGCAAGTCTTCCTTGACCGAGAAAGGGCATTAAATCAAATTTAATGTCAGTCCTCATTTTGTTCTTTTCTTTGTAAAGGGATTTCAAAGGTTTTTTTAATTTGTTTTTTTTTCTACGCAAGGAACTGTGCGTCTCGTAGTCACGGGGATTTACTGTTCCTTTATGATAACCGGCAACCCAGTCACTCAACTTTGGAGCTGCTAACCGCACAAGGCCTGTATAGAGTAGGCGTGGTACCACAGAAATTGCCTGATGTTTGCAGGGTTCCAAGCAGACACAGTAGAGTGTCTCAACAACCGCCACCTTATGTTGAGGGTAACAATTTTCCACTTAGAACTCCCACTGTATGAATCTGAAATGGATCGGGATCAATCGACGCCGTGGGAAAATACCGGTATTTTCTTGATCTTATTGGATCTGTGGGAGCCAGGGCAGCGGATAGAATACAGCAATCTGATATATGGATCTCGTTTATCGGTATTCGTAATTCGCAGTCCAGAAAAATGTACACTGAGCAACTCTGTAAATACAGCACGGTTTTCTCTTAGTCAAGGCACTTTTTCTGGCGCAACCAATAAACTCTTGCGCTTTTGTAATTGTCTTTTGACGGTAACTGTTTGGAAACATCTCGTTAGTCACGATTCTGCGATAGTCTGGCGGACACAAAATTGTGGTTAGCTAAATTCAAGAACTGTATTTCGAAGACGGATTGGTAATGTCGACGTATTGCGCTTATCCCGTGTTGCAGTTGCTTCTCAAAAGTTGGAGGGTTTAAACAAAGTGTTGTATGGAGGGATCATTTCGAAAGAGTTTTTCAGAAAGGAGGTTTGAAATACCTGGTAGTCAGCAAGCTGACTGCTCTGGTACCATTTCAGAGATGTAATGTCAGATATTCCGCCCAATTTCCAGAATTCTCATGTTCTGGTCGATCCGGTTAACAACAACAAGGGATTAGCAAAGAGATTGTTTTTTCCTCCTGGGGAGCATCGGTGTTCTACATTGATGAGTAATTGAGATTAAAAGAAGGCTTAATGAGCAAAAGTGCAGTCTGGGCTCAATCACCTTTCAGTGACCGACTCTCATCGTGGGTGGTGACCTTACCATGAACAGCAATGGGAAATTAGTGAAAGAGACAACATTTTGATATTTATGATTGGGATGGAATCTGCGTTAGAAAATATCGAGAGAACAGAAACATGCCCAAAGCAACCAATACTCACCACGCACAGGTGTACTTACGGAATAGACAGACCACAGCTTTGTGGTTACATTCCGGTGTGTGTGTGGTTACACTTTTGGTCTACGCTACAACCACGTTGATCGCGAACCGGAGCCACCGGGAATTCTTCTCGGCTGTGTGCTATGAGTGGGGGCCATTTATATTTGTTTTACATCATTCAAACCCAGACCAGCTTAGGTGCTCATATTTATTTTACATACAGTAAGAATATTTTTTTATTTCTCGGTGGGAAAACTATGAGGACGCGGATGCAGGCGTCCCAGGGAATAGTGCGTGTGTGCGCGCGATCACCCTAAATCGTTTGTTAAACATTCAATAAATATTTTCATACGAATTAGGATTGGTGTGTATCATCAAACTGTTTGTTTTCTGTCGAGTCTAGAACACCCAAATCCATTCACTTATGTCAACATATCTTCCAGGAACAAGTGAACTCATGCGAATAGAACATTTTTTTTCAGGTAAACACTTGTTTCCAATAGCTTGTGATCATACCATTGCACTTTATATGAGAGGATAAAACCTAGAGGTTAAGAAGATAACATAAAAATGTGAGGAATCGTTCGATCCTGGTAGGTTTGTGGCAAGTCAGCCCGTAACCTGCATGGAAGTCCTGATTTGATGGAAGGATTTTGATTCTAGTTAACAGATTATCATCTGTTCCCCTTCGTTGCTGTCGGGTCAAATAAATCGATTGATTATCACTGAGGACAACAACTGAACAAACATGAATTGGCAATTTGGCTCAGCCATGGTATGAAGTGGTTGTGTGGTAATCGGAATAGTACTGAATATCGGAATACGAGAATCCGTACTGTAATACCCAGAACTGGATTGGCTCCAACCCGAGCTGCAAACACGAAGAATTGATAGCAGCAGGTGCCAATGTTTATTGACAGAAATAGAACATGTTTCATAGAAAGTAATAGGCCATATCATTGGTTGAAGGGCCATCGTCCAATCGTGTAACCGTTTACACAGACTCATCGTATGTACTAACTGTGATGTAATGTTCGCCCGGTGTACCGTTGGTTCAGCTTCCTGAACTTTGATTGGATGACGTGAAGCTGTACCTGGTAGTACTTGGAATACGGTCACGTATGTCTGGATTACCACACGTTGGCACAGTGGTAACGCACACGCCTTCCATGCGATGGTTTCGGATTTGAAATCCCGCTCGGGACGGTGGATATGAACTACGGATGAGCTCTGATAAGAGCGAAACCCAAGTCTAGTGCTTCCGAATGTATGATTGAATCAATGAATCGAGGATTGTGCGCGAAGGTGAAGTCCAAAGGATAGTCAGTTCAAATCAATCAATTCTACTGCATATTTTATAGGCTACCTGGTTGTAGACCAATCACCTGTCTCGAATCATTCGCAGGTGTCTGAATTGTTGCGTCACGTTTTACCTTCAGGGAGAATGATGCCTTTCAACAGTTTGTTTTTACGCACCAAAAAGAAGGATACTTGTGATTATGAGTGGGAATTTCCTTTCTGGGACAAACTTCAATCACTGTGCTTATGATATCAGAACGATAGGACTCGGGATGCCTTCGAAATCAACGGATCACATCCGATCCATTTTCCAGAAGGAAATTTCTGCTATTCGTATTTGTTAAAATGCTGTATTTTGTTTTATGTCAGCGAAATCTGCATGCAGTTCAGAAAACATGTAGTCTGTTATTGCTCAAAAGGTGAACCACGATGCAAGAATCTACGCTACACAAGGAAGCAAAGAAGCGGAATGACTAGCGTACCTGTTTTTTAGCCGATCTTGGCCGGCTATAAATGAGTGGAATGATTTTTCGCGGCGAAAATTGTAATTTCTTGGCACTTTTTTGTGAAAAGAAGTTTACAAAAGTTCTCGACCCCGATTAGTGGCAGTTGATGTCCAGATTATGAAAATTGATGATAATGATGATTGTGACTATGGAGGCAGAAGCAATCCAAAAACCTAGGGAGATGAGTGTGTGCAATATATTTGTTCTGGACTGTGTCAAATCATAGAACATAAAAACCTACATGCATTGTTTACGCTTCAATCGTTCGCACAAATGATTTTGTTAATTTTTTAAAATATTAAATCCGCTGTCCTTTGACCAGACCACGAGTCATGTTGCATCGTGTCTGGGGTCACTGCACTCAAACTCCGGATGATTATGGCATGCTGATTCTAGTCAAAGGTTATTTCCGGATAACACTCCGTATCGGAATCCTTTGGTTTTTTTGTGTGTGAATCATTTGCTCGAATACCGTTCGAGATCAGCTTCACAGTCAGGATAACAACTCATCCGACAGGCATCCTATACTCTGC